CATGGACACAACGCTGAACTAGTTCTCAAATGCAGAAATATACATGTAAGTGGGTTTATGATTCTTTCTAAGCTGATATATTTTGCCTGTTAAAATGATGCTGCTCAGTTAGTGTTAGAGGCCTTATGTTTGGTCATTACAAGTGTCTGGGCTCTCTCAGTCCCTATATATGTCTGTGTGTGCTTCCCGTTTGTGGACTCTTGATTCAAATTCTCTGTGTTTAATTGTATAAAATATTTAAAAAATAAAGGGGTCGAAGAAGATTGTTAAATATCTGACAAGAATCCTAAATACCTTTATATATATATATAAAAAAGTTGGGTTGTTTTGAACTTGATTATGCTGACCTGTCTGCCTTTTAGCCTGACTCCTTTACTCTGGCGTTATGGAAGTCTGTTGGAATCTTTTTCAATAAGCTCAGTATTATCATATCTTGCAAAAAAAAAAAGCCTCCACTCTGAGAAGCTGGGCCTTATAGAGTGGGACTGTTTTCACACTGGGACTACTGAGATTTTGCAGATGTTTGCATCTGTTCCACTTAAGGTGCCCTTAAATGTGTTGAATGTAATGTGTTGAATGTTTATGTGTAATTGATAAAGTATCTATATGTGTGTGCATAAGATTGTCACAAGATGTATTCTCAGGAATACTGGTACCTGGAGTTTGAAGGAATAGTATTTAAAAGCAAATAATAGTGGAAGATTAGAAAATGCTCAAGATACTTAATTTTTTGCAATGTTCAAAATATTATTGAGTATATGATAAAAATCATTATGTATGATAAATACTAGATCATTTCTTAAGCTATGATGCTTAAAGATATTTATCTTGTTTAGAGGAAAATTAAAACAAGCACCTGTTTCCCATGTATAAAAAATTGGACTCAACCAAGAGTTTGCTTTTTCAGAAATTAACTTTTGAGAGAACTTGCAATAAGCACGTACCACCCATAAGGGTGGATGTAGATTTATACCACGCAGAGTCAATTAAAGCAGTTCAAACCCTGGATACAGCATTTTCTATAGCAAAATACTTTACTTCATTTTTCAGTATTTGCTGCTTTTTATAATTCTATTAGATAAGTTATTTGATCTTTTCCAAAAAAAATACCAAACAGAAAATGGAAACTGAGTTGTTGAGTGCATGGAGACAAGGCGCTGGGAACTACAGTGTCAACATTGGGCATGGCCATGGCAATGCGGGGGAGAACAATCTGTGCTGTTTGGGGTCTGCTTAGAGAGTGTTGAACAGGCTGGAAGCAACTGGTTTGCTATTTCAGGCCTCCAAGAGTCCCTAAGGCATGGTGACTTCTCCCTTCTTTTTAGTATCTATACCTTTAGTCAATAAAGGACATTGTCCACTATGCTGTACAAGTCCAACAGTATCTGAGATGAGAATAGGGTATATGTAAGGACCAATAGAAAAAAAAGAGTTAAAAATAGAATTACAGTCCAAAACATAAATACTCTTCCTCAAGTTATATAGCATACTTCAACAATCTCTTGAATTTGCTGCTATCACACCAAGTCATGTTATTGCCCTGTGACCTTACACTTCCGTTCCATGGCCTTGCCCTTGGCAGTGAGTAGAAAGTCCCACTTCCTCATGCACTTTAGTGGGCCTCACTGCAGCAATTCAGAAACAGAGTTTGATTTGACACTCAGGACAATAAAACAAGTTAAGGGTAGAATGTATTTGGAAAAGTTTAAGGCAAATTTACTTTTATTATTTTAGGATCATTTAGCATTACACATCAATGTACCTCCATAATATTTTTCAATAGTCACTGTGACCGAAGGATAAAAATCCTTTATTAGCCATTTACAGGTAAAAACAAATGATTGATTACATAGCCAACTTCTCTCAGATGACTACGAAGTCTGTTACGAATACTGGATGACCAAAGAGCATGGAAAAAAATACATATGAATAAATACTGAGATGTTTATGAAAGATATTTATGAAAGACATTAAGACTTCTGTGTTTGAATATGCACATGTAATAAAATAAATCTAAAAACATTTGAGATGACTGTTTCATTTCTCATTTCTTAGCATAGGGAATAGTTTAACTCTTAAGGAAAGTATTCCTTTTTGACCCCTGGGTGTGCCTTGTTTGTTTAGAACCCCTGGGGTGAGCCTTGATGTCTCTCTTCAATCCCCTAGTCTGGCCTGTGCTCACCCTTCAGTAGACACTTAAAATTCTTCCTCCAATCCCAAATGAACTACATTCTGCTCATGAATTCCACCCTTAACTTTAAAAATAAAGCAGAATGGCCATATTGGGAGACAGATACCCCAGCTTGATTTCTCTGCTCAGGTTATGACCTGTAATGACTGGTAGATTTCCCAGGAGGAATATTAAGGACATGTTTGTCCTCTGAATGTGGCCAGAACCACCATGGGATTCAACTTAACTATTTCTGCCTTTTATACAAAGTGCTGTATCCTTAGCCTCATGGTATCCACCTGTGAGCTGCATGCAGCCCAGGATGGTTATGAACGTGGCCCAACACAAAATTGTAAATTTACTTAAAACCTTTTTTTTTTTTTTGCTCATCAGGTTTCATTAGTGTTTGTGTATTTAATGTGTGGCCCAAGGAAACTCTTCTTCTTCCAGTGTGGCCCAAAGACACCAAAAGGTTGGACACCCCTGCATGGTGTGTTAGTGCTAAATCCATTGTTTTCCTCATGTGGTTGCTTTTCCTGTCCTTTCCTGACTCAAAGACCCTAGATACATTTGGCAGAGGAATAGACACTCTTATACCTCTTCTGGATTGTGTCTGAACAGTAAATAAATGGACTATAATTTGTCAGTGAGCATTCCTGAGAGGGAAAAACAGAAGGTGAGAGGAATGAGGGCCAGAAGCAGACAAGGAGAGTAGTAATAATAGCCACCATAATTTTGTTTTGAGCAACAGACATAATGTACTGAATGCATCACCTGGATTCACTTATTTAATGCTCATAACCTCCCTAAGCACTGGACACTCCTTAGCAGAGGAGGAAACAGTTGAAGGAGAGAGAAGTGACTTTCCAGGTCACTGTGGACTCAGAGGAGAATTAATTTGCTGTCAACCCTGAGAAGGAATTATTCTGCTGAGATGGACTCCCCACGGTAAACCAAGAGCTCAATTTTGTGTTGTATTTTTTATTTTTATTTTCCAATTACATTTTACTTTCAATATTATCTTGCATTGGTTTTGAGTAAGTAGCACAGTGGTTAGACAACCCTATACTATACAAAGTGTTTCCCCCAATATTTACAGTACCCACCTGGCATGATACATAGTTACCGCAACATTATTGACTTTATTTTCTGTGCTGTATTTATATTCCTGTGACTATTTTGTGACTACCAGTTTGTACTTGTTAATCCTTTCACCTCTGATCTAGTCTCCCAATTCCCCTCCGTTCTGGCACCCACCAGTTTACTCTCTGGGTCTTGAGTCTGTTTCAGTTTTGTTTTTTCATTTATTTTGTTCCTTAGCTTCCACATATAAGTGATATCATATGGTTTTTGTGACAGAATGGATGGACCTGGAAGACATTATGTTCAGTGAAATAAGTCAGTCAAATAAGAGCCTAGAGCTCATTTGCCAACAGGGCTTCTTACATACTTTGTATACCTGAAAGAACTATGCTCTGCTCACTCCCACTGAGTCAGCCATCAGAAGGGAGTCCCTGGTTTTGCCTTTCCACGAGTGGACAAGTCTAGGCAGATTAGAGCTGCCCCATAACAACCAATCAGAATTCACAGTGCTGACCAATTAGCACTGCCTTCTTCAGACCAATCAGAAGTGTATGGCTTTCCATACCCCATTTATATAAAACAAACCTAATTGAGAACTTGGAAAGGAGCTTTCCTTGTAAAAGGTAGCTTTCCCTTTGTCTCAGTAGAACAGTTCAGATTGTTACCCACATTGGTAACTGAATCTGTGTCTCCCAGGCTACAGCTTCTTTTGCTCAAATATTATTGATAAGGAAGTTTGCTTTTTTCTGTAAGATCTCCTAGTAGAGCTTATTTGTCTTTAACTTCATTTGAAACAATTTTGTTAGATTGTATTGACAGCTGTCATATCAGTGTGCATTTAAAAAAGAACTCATCAAAATTGGTGAATTTTTGTGTAGTCAATATCAAAGATGTAAGAAAGTACACAACATTTTCAGCACATTATGCTTTGTTATTTCAAACAAGATAAAAAAAAGCACAACTGAAATGCAAAGAAAGATTTGTGCAGCAATGGAGAAGGTGCTGTGTCTGATTGAAGGTGTCAAGACTGGTTTGTGAAGTTTTTTGCTGGAGATTTATCACTGGATGACGCCACACTCCAAGGTTGGGTAGACCAGTTGAAGTTGATAATGATCAAACTGAGACATTAATTGAGAATGATCAATGTTATACCACAGGGGAGATAGCTGACATAATAAAAATATTCACATCAGTAAATTTATTGATGAAAATGAGAAATGTGTCTTCCATGGAAAAAAACTAAGTGGACTTTTTGGCCAATTCCAATTCATGCTTTTTCTTCCTTATTACAATCTATAATTAATTTGGTTTTAACCTTACCCAGCTAAGTATCTGGCAGAGCTACAATTCGGCCCTCAAACAGCCTCTTTCAGGTCTTAAGATGAGTTCAAGGAGAGAAATATGAGGAATGGTCTTCAGTTTGTTTCTTAAGGTTAACAGGTGCTGGACAGGAAAAGGGCACGAGTGGTAGAGAAACAAAATTGTGAACCAAGGGCAAGGAGTAAAATAAACTGTATGTATGTAAAGTGGAAAAACATTAAGATAAACCCCTTGAGTTCTGAGAGGCTAAGTACTTTTTCAAAAATGAAGGTCAGAGGAAGAGACCTTTTTAGGTGAGGCCCCAGCCCAATACTTTCAAGCTAGTCGCCCCTCCCCCTATGGAAAGGCGGGACTTCCGTCTCCCTGGGCAGCTGCTTCCTGCGGAGTCCGGAAGACTCTAAGGCAAGAGGTGGTGTCAAAACTGAGCAGCCAATCAGGGAGACGCGTTCGTCCTGCCCGGGACCCGTGAGGTAACTTGCTCTTGGGAACCGAGACCATGGCGTCTGGCTGCAAGATTGGCCCATCCATCCTCAACAGCGACCTGGCCAACTTAGGGGCCGAGTGCCTCCGAATGCTGGACTCTGGGGCCGATTATCTGCACCTGGATGTAATGGACGGGTAACTCCGCGGGGCTCGGGTCGGGGTTGCTGCGCGGGGCGGGATGGGTGCCCCTATTTTGAGCGCCTGTCGGTGCAGGGCGTCCCTGAGTCGCGGAGCGCCCCACTCGGAACCCGGTAATGACAATAAGACCGGCTGGAAGTCCTGGAGGCCCTTCCTGGAGTGAAGCCGAGGCGGCATCCCGGACCGCGACTGCGTCGGAGACCTCAACCTCTTCCCCTCTCCCCGCATAACGTGTGGTCCCCGAGCGCTTAGCACCCGGGAGCGACATGACATCTGTAGGGCAGGCCTCTGGTTTTCAGACGGAGAAACTGAGGCCCAGGGGGATAGGCATGACTTGCCCAAGCTCATATAGGTTATTGGTGGCAAAGCTTGAGGAGACCGCCTGGGCACCTGGAGTGAGATCGCCCGAGTTCTGCCACCTGCTGGGATGACCTGGAACGAGCCATTTAACCTCGTTGAACTTCAGTTTCGTTATGTGAAACATGCGAGTAATAGTAGAATATACCACTTAAAACGTCTTTGAAAGGTGAAATGAGGTTGTACGTGTCCAGTTCATAGTGCCTGGCATAGAGTGAATTCTCTCTAGTTGTTAGTTGTGTCATTGTTAGAATTTTGATTTTGTTGTCCATTTTCCCTTCAGGCACCCTGCTCTTCAGGGAGGTCAGTTTTTTTGAAGTAATTTTTAAGTACTGTAGTTGTAGCACATAATCAGTATTGTTTAGAACCAGGGTAATGCCAGTTTCTTAATTTGATTACAGAATGAGGAAACCTAGAGAAAGCAGTAAGAATCGCCCCTGGTTACTCAACCTTGTGGCAGAGTTGCAACTTGGGTTTGCCAAATAGTTTTCTGAGCCCCGCTGACAACTCGTCTTAAAATCGTAACAGCCATTACCTTGGGTTGGGGTAGGAGAATAAGTTTATTTTAAATGGGTAAACTCTCTGTGTGCCTTTCTGCAAATTTGCAAGTTGCGTTAGTTACAAAACAATCGGTTATTTCTCTTTTTAATGTTATTCCTTTTATGAGTTTTATCTTCCCTCGTTCTGTCTGGTTCAGTTGTTGTTTCTCTTTTGCATTCCACGCAGTTACCTTGTCCACCTTACCTGTGTGCTCAGAGGTATAGTGTGATAATGGCAAAATCTTGACCTTAGAATGCTCTAAGAATTCTAGGCAAAGAGTAGAAGGTCAGTAAATATTATCTCTCACAAAAGCTTGATTTTTAGTTTGCTGTCGTGTGTGGTTCTACTTACATACTTTCTTGACCACCTTGCTGGAATGCCCTGAACGTTCACAGGTTATATTGTTGAATGGGGTGCGTACCTCAGAGACGGCTAGCTCAGCTTTGTGCCAGACACCTGGGCATTTCAGGGTAGAACAGGCTCCATGTATGTGGGTGTGATCTGTTTGATACAGAAAGCAGCGTGGTTTTCGGTTAAGTCTTGTTTGGGTAACTGAGTGAACTGAGAAAATAATTTTCAGTTCACCAAAAATTCAGAAATGTTAAGGATAGTAGTAGCTCTCAACTGTTTCTGTTCTGATGCTTTTTATGAATGAACTCATACAATCTGAGGAGATTGGCCTGTTACTGGCATCCGCATTTGACCGTGGGGAATCAGATGCAAATAGATTGTCACCTGTCGGTGGTTTCAGTGCTGGGACTGGAAGCTTGCAACAGCTATGTTGTCTCAGAAATTAAATGTCCTCTGTGGGTACTGGGCTTACAGAGAATGGCTAAGACACAGCTGTGTCTTAAAAGGGAAAAGGTTAAAAACCCTGAATGTCCCATGAGAGGAGGTGAAGCCAGGCTGAGCTGTATGCAATACCTCCTAGGCCGGGGTGTGAAAGTGGGGGTGTGGACTCCCACTGTGGCCAACCGCATGTTACCCTCTCTCCTTTCTGGGTACTGATTCCAAGCTTCTCTTGGCTGGTTTCCTTTAAAAATCTCCAACTTACACCTAGTTTAGTAAGTGCAACTTATACTTACACTTACACTTAGTGCTTTTGTTTTCTGGTCCCCCACTCCATTTCTCTTCTGAGTAAAACCGAATGTCTTCATCTTGAAAGTCAGAAACAAGTTCTGGAAACACCTTTGAGGGTGGGGCACCAGTGTGGAAAGAAAATTTTCTAAAAGAATATTAGAAAGCACATAAATGCGTCCTGACCAGATAGGAACTGGAAATATGTTGGTTCTAAGTGTGGAAACAGAGCAAATAAGCAATTTCTAAATTAAGTACCAGAATTTAAAATTGGAGAGATTTCACATTAGTACTAGATTTTTGGCTTTGGAAAAACACCCGAAGGTTTGCCAGTACTGGGAGGTTTCCACAGTCTCACAAAGCCCCAGCAGGCTAGAGGTGAATGACCACCACCATTAGCCAGGCCAGATGTTCTTCATTGGTCCCCTGTCCCCATCTCCATTTTGCTCCTCCATGTTACCTGCCAATCCTTGTAAGCCTGTGAGTTTGTGATTCCTGGCTCACAGGAATTGCTTTCTGATAACAATTTTGCAACATTTTATTTATTTCAGTTAAATAAATAACTGAATGGCAATCTCCCAAATCTCCCAAAATAACTTTGCCTTTTTGGGAGATTTGGTAAAGGTTTGATCTGTCTGAAATACATTGCATGACAATTATAAACAAAGTTTAGGGTTGATGGAACATGATGAGAGAGAAAGTAATTGTGTCTGTGTATTATAATAATTGAAGTGTAATTTCAGTAAGTCCTTTGGGGGAAAAGACTTTTTTTTATCGCATTTGATTTTTTGCAGACTCCCAAAAATACCCTCCTAGAAAAAAGAAGTAATGTAACAATGAAGCAGACTTCCCTGATGAAATTTTTTTTCATTAGAGTGAAATGTAGTGTTTTCCAAGCTGATCTGATAAGTGCTCCCTGTGTACTTAAGAATTCAGATTCCCAGGTCCTCTTTGCCGTCCGCAGGCTTGAAGTAGAGCCTGTAAATCCTTTTGTTGCAGGTGTTCCATGGGTATTGTTGTCAAGCAAATTGGGGGGTCACCTGACTTCATGCTGGGGTGTATAACCTTTTTTTGTTATGTCTTAGGTCCGAGCCTTTTGTTGCTTAGGGCATTGGTGAATGTATGTTTTCCCAGTGTACTTGGTGAATGGAGTGCATTGAATTGACCTTCAAGTGATGCTATTCATCATATACTTTGGGAGGGAGTCAGTAGTTTTATACCCTCTGTCTCTGTCTCCCAGTGAAGTAGCAGCATATTTGTTTTAATTCTCATATTTTCCCAAGATGTGGTTATGCTCGTTCTCATGATAAATGAAATTTAAGTTTGAGACAACAAAAGTACCGGCATACCTTGGAGATATTGTGGCTTCTATTCCAGACCACTGTAATTAAGTGAGGATCGCAACGAAATGAGTGGTCCCTTTTCCACTGCTGTAGGGGTCTTGCTTTCGGTTTGTTTAAAAAAAAAAGGAGGAACACTAGTGAAGTGCAGTAAAACAAGGCCACGCAGCAAATTAAAAGAACAGTGAGTGAAATACAAATCTTTCAGTTCCAGAGTTGTATAATGTTAATTAAGCCTCACTGCCTGCTTCTCTGACCCTCACTTCCAAGTTATAAGTAAACATAAGCCTGTTATTTATAACCCTAGCAGCCGTTGCTCTTAGGCAAATGGTAGAATGATTTCTTAAATACTAAAACCCCAATCTCCAAGGATCAAGGTGCCGTAAGTGAAAGTGTCTGTGCCCATCCATCCACCTTACCAGTCCCTCTCAGATGCATCCTGAATTCTTTACATCTCCCGATTAAGTCTCTCCTCACCTGGACTTTAGTTTTCTGTTATTAGTCTGTCAGTGGAGGGGCAGGTGAGACTAATAAAGAACTTGGACTTTGGAGCCAGGTTGCCTGCATTTCCTGCCTGCCTCCAGCACTGTCTTGCTTGGGTAAATACAGATAAGGTAGTACTTATCTCATAGAGTTGCAGGATTTTAATGAGTTAATGTGGAAAGTGTTTAGAATGGTGCCTGACCCATATAAATTTTAACTTTTTTATTAACACTCTTTCTGCCTCTCATCTAAGCTTAAAATCTTAACCATGATTTATTTTCTGTTTTCAGTGCCTACCCCCCATCTTATCAGTGAACAAATCCTATCATGTCTACCTGTCCTCCTTTGCATTGTTATTATTCCTTGCCACAGGCCAACACCTCTTGCCTCCCTTCTTCCAATTTACTGGCAAGTCTACCTTCCTACTTCGTTATGTGCATCTTTTTTTTTTTTTTGCTTCTCACTTCATATTTGCAGCAGGATGACGTCCATGCACTGAGCCTGGCATTTGATTCCCTTGCTGAGGCATAGTCTGCTTCCTGCCTTTCATAGAAGCCCCGCTGGTCAGCACCATCTTAAACCTTTGGACACAACTTGCTTATTTCAGCCTTTGCTTCATTTCTTTCCCCACCTTTACAATTCCATTTGTTCTGTAAATCTTGTGATGTCACCCTTCTTGTAAAGTGCTGTTATACTGCGTGCCTCTGGAGTTGTTTTATCTCTTGTTTGTCTGCTTGTTATTGTTTAGCTTTTCTTGCAATCCTCACATGGAGTAATACCTATTACTTTTAACAAATAAAGCCCATTTTTCAGTGGCTTAACATGAAATGTATTTCTCATTCATGTAACAATTCAGTGTGAATGTCCTTTGATGCGGAAATTCAGGGACATAGATTCCTTCCATTCTGTGGCTCTGCTGTTCCTTAGGGGCTTCTTTATTGGCAGAAGGGTAAAGTGAACACAAAAATGGAATACTATTTAACCCTCTGGTCACTGCAGCGACCTACCTCACTTAAACAGTCCACTGGTGAAGACTAGTCACGTGGTGCAGCCAACTGGATGTAAAGGGTGTTGGGAATTATGGTTCTTGGCTGGCTGTGATGCCTTCCGAACAACTGTAATTAGTAGATAATAACAGTAGATATTGAATTTCTAATAACAGTAGATCATGAATTCTGGTGAGTTTTTAGGCACCTCCTACCAATGAGATTGTCAGGTTTTCTGGGCTAAGCAGGAACTCTCACATTTTAAATAAAATACAGTATTCTGAAGCACGCAAGGTGGTACTTAACGGAACACAAGGACTAACTGGGGTAGCACCATGTTTAAGTAATACAGGTCTGAAACCTGGGAGACTTAGTTTGAATCCTGCCCCCACAAGTAGTTAACTGGCTGACTTAAGTTATTTGCCCATATAGCAACACATCCACTTCGCGAGGCTGTTGGGAGGAGGAAATGAAGAGTGAGGTACAGTACCTGGCGTGGCGTAAACCCTCAGTGAACGGTGGGTTTTAGTACACACCTGAAGTTTCCTTGTTGATGACCTTTAAAAATGTCTAAATAAACTCACTGAGTGCCCTGTGGCACAGGTGGATTAGAAGTCGCCTCAGGTAGCCCTTGACAAACTAGAGTATGAAAGACCCGTATTAGAGTCCGGAATTTCCTAACTAGTATATGACTTGGGCAAGTCATATAACTTCTGGAGTTTTGATTTTGTCATCTTTCTCTTTCTACCTGTCAGAGATTATGAATAGCAGAGTTGACTCACGTAGCATTATCATGATTTGTTTAAATATCAAGGAGATTACTGCGTTGTAAAGCCAAAATTATCCAGATATTTTTGGTGCTATTTAATACTGATGATGTTAAGTATTAAATTGAAAAATAATGCAGTCATAAACATTCCCCTCTACCACCATCAGAGTGCATATTGAGCAAAATACAGAAACTGAATTGAAAATATTTTCAGAGTAAGATTTTGTTTGTCTTGTAGGCATTTTGTTCCCAACATCACCTTTGGTCACCCTGTGGTAGAAAGCCTCCGAAAGCAGCTAGGCCAGGACCCTTTCTTTGGTAAGTGGGTGTTACACCATCTGAAGCTGGATGTGTTGCTCCACTAAAGGAAAAGATGGCTGGTTTTATCAACTTTCCATTTCATCTAGAACCCCTTTTCCCTCTCGCTCTGTGCTGGGGCTTCATTGGCTGCCTGTAATAAGCCAAACCCTTTCCTGTCTCAGGGCCTTGGCACTTTTGCTAATTTCTTTGCCTGGAAAACTATTCACTTGGCTGGCTCTGCTTTATCTTTTGGCCTCAGATCATTTCTCATTTCCTCAGAGAGGCTGCTCTAAGCACCCTATCTTAAAGTAACCCTTATCTATTTATATCAGCTTCTGGATAGTTTTCTTAGAGCTCCCTTTAATTTGAAGTTATTTTTGTCAGACTGCACACTCCTTGAATGCAGGGATTTCATTCACTTTGTTTATTGTGGTTTTCAGAGCTAAGCATAGACACAAGATTAGGGCTCACTGTAATTTTAAATGAGTTTATGAACTGATTGATTTGTTGTCTAGAAAGGAAGCCAGTGATCTCCTACAAATTGGAGTTTTCTGCACATGGGTTCCCACTTCAGTGCTGTAGGATGTGCACTAAGATATTTAGGATCACACAGTAACCTAGAAGTTACTTCTCGTAGAACATGAATTCAGTCCACACATTGTTGCCGCCCTTTTAAACTTAGTTAGCAGTGGCTTACTTAGCAAATCTCTTGTGCATGAGTTTCTTGGTGGCTTAACCATACTACAAGTTCTCAGCCCCATGTGGCTAGTGCCTGCTGTGCTGTGTAGGGCCACCGTGGAACATTGCCATCACCGTAGAAAGGGTTGTCGGACAGAGCCTCATCCATCCACTTTGAGTGTACCAAAAAAATGTACATTATTGCGTAATGTGTATGACATGAGGGACACAATGTTCCAGCAACATGTTCATCATTTTGAAATTTCCAAATAATGGAATGTAATCCTCTGATAATCTAAACTTATTTTTTATTACATTTTGGAAAATGAATTTTCCACTATAAATTTGTTGTTATGACTATCAAAGGTAGATGAAATAAGGAGCATTGTTTGCCTACAATGGCCACAATGTCCTCTGCTTCTGGCTCTGTGTGGATTTAAGCCAAATTTTTTTTCCCTTTTCTCTCCCTTTTACTTGGGCTCCTAGTGTTGCTTCTCACTGCTGTGCGTGTCCCTTACCATCAGTGCCTCCTGCCAGCCCTGCTGCCGCCATCACACAGAATCTGCTCTTTCTTCCTGTTTTAGTTTGTTACTTGTTAAGCTTAATGATTTATCATTTTAGAATTGGGTCTAAAATAAAGATGAATGGACTCTGTGTGCTTTAATATTTGGGTTTATGACCTTTTTTATTTTTAATTTTTGGATCTTATTTGTTGGTTAATTGAAACATGAATATATTTTAGGAACTAAATCACAAGTTGTATGTATGACTGCTAGAGTTCTTAACTGTTTAATCTCAGTACTGAGGAGGAATAGCTATCTAAGAATTAAAATGATAGGGGAAAGTCTGTTTTGCTATTATCCAAGTCAGTGGTCTTCAAGTTGGGTCTGATAACCCATGGGAATCCCTTCCAGATGGTCTATCAGGTCAGAACTATTTTTACATTATAACATGATTTGCCATATTTGTACAGAGGATGCAGAAGCAATGGTGAATGAGTTCACTGGTGCCTTAACCCAGTGGTATTGAACTATACAAGTAGTCACTAACATTCTTCATCATGATGTGTTCATAGTAAGTGTCCATGATGAGGTAGTGCAAATGATTAATTTTAGTAAATCTTGATCCTTGAATGTATGTCTTTTTAATATTTTGGGTGACCAAGTGGGAAGTACATCTAAGGCACCTCTCCTACATACAGAGTATGCTGGCTTTCTCATGGAGACCACTGGGCCATTTTTTGAGTTGTGAGCTGAACTACCTGGGTTTTTTGTTGTTGTTTTAAGATCAACATTTTCACTTGAAAGAGCAGCTATTATCAGACTTGGGTATTTTGCTGACATTTTAAAAATTGTTAGCCTGTCACTTTTAAGGAAAATATCTTCTTAGTTTTTGTTGCCCCCTGATAAAGTTATAGCTTACAAGTGAATATTAGAATTTTGATAAGCATGTGTACCTGCTGCTGTGAGCTTTTCTGATAAGATCTGTAGTGATATACTAAATGTGATTTTTTTTGATAGTATATAAGGAAATGTATCTTACATGGAAGATTTGTGTAATTCAGTGAACCAGTACTTGAAAGATCCATTCAGTGTGAGGCAGACCGACAGATTTTAGTGTAACAGAGTAGGAAAAGTTTACTGGTAGGGTTTACAGATTGCACATTGCAGGTAACGTTTTGTAGAGTACCACTTGCTGAGTTTTGGTGTAGAGATGAATATCTACTTGTCTGAAAAGAATATTAATGTACTCCCTTGTTTCTGTACTGTTCTTCCTTCTCTTCATGTAAAACTGTACATTGTAACAGACTGAATGCAGAGCAGGTGTGAGAACACAGACATCTTCAGTTAAGGTAGACAGTAGAGATTTACAAATATGTTAATGTAAGTGGCATTATTTTACATATTAGATTTGTTATTGCTTATTTTTAAATGAATTGATAAGTAGACTTGAACAGTTTCTTAATTTGAATTTCTAGTACACCAACTATAGATAAATCTGCCCCATATCAACAGTGCTTTTTGGGGGTCGTCAGTAATTTTTAAGGCTGTGAAGGGAGCCTGATAATAGAATATTTGATAACTGCTCATCATGCTATGTTAATCACAGGCAAGTTGACAGAATCGCTGACGCCCTGAACACTGGAGTTTCCCCACTAAGCATTGCTAGTGGTTACTGCAGGCTGAAAAATCGAATGACAGGCAGTCTGGTAACTCAAGGAATGAGTAAACTAGATATTTTAAACCAGATTGAATTTTCCTTGTTCATAATAGAGAGAAATAAGAAACGCCAAAGAATCTCTGTCTTTTAAAAACAATGTTTTGTCTGTTAAAGTGTGTGGATTGTTTTTTTGGTACTGTTGTTTAGAAATGTAAACTTTAAATCTTGATGTTATCAGTCAAGTGGTATATTCTTTTCCAGACATTTTTTTGAAATCCTTAGTGCCTTTCATAATCTTATTTGAGTTCTGGAATACTAGAATTTTTTTTCTTTAATATAGTTGAGCTATGTCAGAAATGTGCTTCCTCAAGCAAAATAAAAAACTCAAGTTTTCTTACAGGCCTCTGTCCCACACAGGAGTATTTGCTGTTTCCTTCTTCACAACAGTTACTTCTTGATTTAGCCTTTTTTAATCTGACCTCTCCATCTCAAGTCAAGATCTTGAAGAAGGCCATGCCCATTTTGCCTAACATAATATTTGTATGTGACTCAGGCTTTTAGACTAGGATGCGTGTCAGGCTGCTTCTGTGAACATGTCCTTCCCCCTCAAGGTTGGGCCTTCTTCCGCAGCTTTCTGCCTGTCATCATGGCAGTTCTGTGCTGGTCACTCCGACCCAGTCCTTGCACCCTTCTGCCCCTCCCTTCACTGTCCACATCTAATCCACAGCAACTTCTGCTGGCTCTGCTTTTAGACCATGCCCAGAATCTCCCCAGTTCCCACCATTCTCAGTTGCTGCCATTGTCCTTTCTCACCTGGGTTATTGCCATGGCCTTCTAGGTCAGATCTTGTCACTTCCTCGCTGAGAATCCCGCAGTGGTTTTTTCTGTCATTCAGAATAAAATCCGATGGCTTGCAGAGCTCTGCACTGTCACCTCTCCCCTTGCCTCTCTGCCCTCCTCTGCTCTCCCCGTTGCTCCGCCCCTCGGCCTCATGGGCTTTGTTAGCTACCATCCTAGTGAGTGTATTGTATTTCCTTTTTTTTAAATGATGTATCTCCCCCACTGAGAGTGTAGGTGCATGACAGCAGGGATTTTTGTTTGCTGTTTGTTTGTTTTTTTTCTCTATGCCTGGGGCCTTAAAATAGTTAATGATGCAGTAAGTGCTCAATAAAATATTGCTGAAGAGAATCACTTAATTTAGCTTTCTTATTTTACTTGATTTTATTTATTTTATCTTTAGAAAGGGGAAGAGAGGGAGAAAGAGAGGGAGAGAAACATCAATGTGTTGTTGCCTCCTACCTGCCCCACCACAGGGGACCCAGCCCACAACCCAGGCATGTGCCCTGACCAGGAATCGAACCAGTGACCCTTCGTTTTCCAGGCCAGTGCTCAATCCACTGAGCCACACCAGCTAGGGCAGCTTTCTTATTTTATAAGTGAGGAAGCAAGCCTTCATAGATAATACGACTTTTTAAAAAGTTTTTTAGAGTGGCATTTTCTGGACCTAGGTATATGCTTATTATAGAAACATGTTTTTTTGTTTGTTTGTTTGTTTGTTTGTTTTGAATGAATTTAACCAGAACCTTATCTTCAGGATAAAAGGAGGCTAGTTATACAGAATTGTAACTAACAATTATTGTGATGTCAGAAGAGTTTATATATGAAATGGGAAAAACTACAGGTTGGTTTCAATAATAAGAGCCAGGCATTTTCCTTTCAGTAACATTGAGGAGATGTGTCTTTTCTTTCTAGACATGCACATGATGGTGTCGAGACCGGAACAGTGGGTAAAACCAATGGCTGTAGCGGGAGCTAATCAGTATACGTTTCATCTCGAGGCTACTGAGAACCCAGGGGCTTTGATTAAAGACATTCGGGAGAATGGGATGAAGGTGAGAGGTCAGCGGTGACAGCAATGTGTTATATTACTCACACTCAAGAGTTGGGAATGAAGGCAGGAAATGATAGATAGAAAGACCAGACTTGGGCAGATGTTCTTCATTGGGAAGCCAGTTTTAAGTATAACCTGTTTTTTGTGTAAATGCAATAATGTATAATACTTCTACTGGTTTTTAGAGACATTGATATTTAATCTCCTTGTTGAGTTTTTAAGAAATAATTATATAGTCTGAACAATCTACGCTTTCCCTTTGTGTATTCTATTTTTTAAGAATAGGTATTTCTAATGGGCTTGATATGTCACAATAACATAATGTGCAAGTACTTGTCAATGTGATGTAGCAAATTTGTCTCTGTCACAGGTTGGCCTTGCTATCAAACCAGGGACAACAGTTGAGTATTTGGCACCATGGGCTAATCAGATAGATATGGCCTTGGTTATGACGGTGGAACCTGGGTTTGGAGGGCAGAAATTCATGGAAGATATGATGCCAAAGGTAAAAGAATTATTTGAACCTGGGGTGAGGCTTCTATTATGTGTGCTTATTCAGTAAACATATTGAATCCCTTGTACATTTAGGTATGCCCTGTTCTGAAGGTGGGGATTACTGTAATATAGTACGATGAATGGGAAGAGGTTTAGGTGTGGGAATCAGAAAATATATTACATCTTAATCGTGTCATTTTCTTTTTTTTAATTTTATTTTAATTGTTGTTCAAGTACAGTTTTCTGTCCTTTACTCCCATCCCAGCCCACCTTCCCCAGCCCTCCCCACCTCCCTTGTTACTGTCCATGTGTCCTTTATACTTGTCCCTCTAACCCTTCCCCTTTCCTCCTCAAACTTCCTCCCCCAACTTCCTCCCCCCTTCCCCTCTTCTCTTTTGAAACTATGATCTCTATAGCCTTTCAAGCTTTGGGGGTTTTCATTGACTAGTCAGGGTTTTGTCTTTTTTCCAAGATGTATATTCTCTGTAAAACCATGACGAATATGATGCTGTTTGTCAAACAGAACAAAGCTTGCATTTAGGAAACGTAATTTGGTTCAGTGTATTAAAAAGGAAGTTTTCCCCGTTATAATTTGTGTGATGTAAAGTTATTGTGTGAGACATTTGGAGTCCTGTTTTAGTGGCTTGTGCTTGCTGTTTGATATTTTTTTATTTTGTTGTGTCCCCATCACCCTCATATCCACTTTAGGAGTCACTTACTTCCTCGTGTGTATCTAGGTGCACTGGTTGAGGACCCAGTTCCCGTCTTTGGACATAGAGGTCGATGGTGGAGTAGGCCCTGACACTATCCAGAAATGTGCAGAGGTGAGACCGCTCCGCAGCCGTGGCCTTTTCCATCGTCTTGTGCGCCAAAGAGGTTTCCTCTACATTTCCTAAACTGCCTTTCTTTCTTGGAAAAGTACTTTTTGTTCAAACGTAGAACTAGGAAAATAAAAAAGCAGTAAATGAATATTCTAAAATCACATAATTATTAAATAGTAAGTTCGATTATATCAGAAAGTTCTTTTCTGAAAAAGAATGGACTGAGTGCCTGCCTTCAGAAGATCATTAAGTTCAGGGCCTTAGAATGAGTCTTTTTTTAACTAGGGAAAGAAAACATACCTTTCTGCAAAGGGAAAAAAATTGTTCGTCTGTGGAACAGCTGTGTGTCAGTTAACCAGTCTGTCCCTTGTAAGAGCTTCCTAGAGCCATTTTTGTCGAAGTTTTAGATCTGATCTCTGGATACTTCCTAACGCTGTGTAGAGCTGAGATGAGTTTTCCCTAGTAGTTAGCCAAGCCCAGTGAGTATCCTGAGCCTCATTACAGGGGTGCCAGCCCTGCCTGTAGCACTGCTGGTGGGTGAAGTTCACGTAGCCTGTTCTTGCTAAGCAACATGGTCTAGTCTGCACTTCCCGCTTTGGTATAGATGCTACACTTTTCTGTTTGATATTTGTGAAAAGCTTGACTGTAAGGAATATTTATGGAAGAAGAGCTGGCCAAAGGATTAGTGAGGGTAAATCCCTTGACCACCTCATGGAATTCTTTTTACTAAACTGCTTTGCCATTCTCCTACTCCTGTTTACATTAAGGAATGTGTTAAATTGTAACCTTATAAAGCTATGTTTGTTGTGGTTTTTTTCACTTTTATGAGGAATGTTGTAGAGGTGTAGAGTACACTGTATCATAGAGCTGACAGCATTTCACTAGAAAAACTTTCTCAGCTTTAGTGGTTCTCCAAATAGTCCCTCTTTCTTCTGGCAGTGAATCACATAATGTATTGGGTTCTTCCCTCTTTGAGTCAAACCCTAGGAAGCAGAGAACTAAATTTGGACTCGTATTATTTGCTTCTATTTCTGTTTTTACATTTAAAAACATCTTGAAGTTCTTTAAACCACCTCAGAACCGTTCCAGAATGTAACGAAGCCTAAGTAAAAAGTCATTCCATTCTTTCTGGCATCAAAATGAGAAATTATTTAATGTTGCCATGTTTTATGGATAGTTTTACATTTTAGCAACATTGTCCTTTCAGACTATCTACCAGTTTGTTATATAATTCTAAATTAAAACAGTTTTTAGTACTAGCTATGGGGATATTGTTATATTTGGAAAATCTTAATAGAGTTAAGGATTAAGGTTTTCAATTCTTATCTAAATATTAGCAAAGATGCACTATAGCTTATTTAGAGGTCATTATAAAAAAAGGCAGTGGTTTCTTAGACACATTCAGAAACAATTTTGCATCCTCATTTGTTAAGCATTTTAACTTTTCTTCATTGAACCAGATTGCTTAAATTCATTTACCTCAAAGGGGCGTTTGTACAATTTAAGTGCTGACTGACAGATGCAAGGGTGGAAACTCTAGTCCAGGAATTCTGTTGTAGGTTTTTCTGCTCCTTTCTTTGAGGCATAACCTAAGTGTTTACTTCTTCCAGGCAGGAGCTAACATGATTGTGTCTGGCAGTGCCATTATGAGGAGTGAAGACCCCAGATCTGTGATCAACCTGTTAAGAAATGTTTGCTCAGAAGCTGCTCAGAAACGTTCTCTTGATCGATGAAAGAGCAAGGAGTCCAGTGTCTGTGCCCGTGAGATCCTTTTATTGGAGAACAAGAATACTGACTACCAAATCCTATCACAATTTAGGCAGTGCTGCTTTTGAGCAACTATTCATTCCAGTGACTAGCATCTATTGTGCAGAATATTCCAAGAGGTTATAAATTGTTGTGTATTGCTTTAGTGATGAAATTTAAAGATTAGTGGTGAAATACCGTTTTGACTGGGAGACTTGATTTTTATAAAGAGTAAAAATGTGTTGGCTGTATTAAGGTTATAAAAAATATGTCTTCTAGGGAAGGCATATTAGCTACTATGAAAAAATGTTTTTCTCCATTTAATTTCCTGTTGTTTCTCAACTGTTTTCCAAAAGCAAATTAAGACCTTGTGTTTTCTGTTCTGTGTCATTTTTGATTTGTGTGTATGTGTGATAATGAGTAGAATAGAACTAAGGAAAAAAGTCTAAGTTTGAATCTGGCTGGGATGGCATACTGTATTCTTGGTTTTAAAACATCTATTATTTACTTGGCACCTTAGATTTTATATACATAAACAATGTATAAAGTCCAGGGATTTTAAGGTGATCTGTTCTAAAATATAAGCATAGATGTTTACCAGGGTGTTCTGTTAGCTTTGCTGCAGGGGCAGGTTGCTCAGTGATTTCCCTACCACCACCTCGTCCTCAACCACACCCCCAGTTTTTAAGGATATGAAGTAATGTGCTAGCTCCAAGCAGAAAGGAAAGCTTCTATTTAGAAGTAAAATTAAAAAATAAAAATAAAAAAAGAAGTAAAATTGGATTGACTGTTCTGCTTTCCAGCTGTTTGACCTAAGCAAATCAAATCAGCCAACCTCTTTGAGCTTCTATTAACTGATTTATACCTTGACTGTAATAATTATAATAACTGTGCGGGGTTGTGTTGAGTATTAAAAGAGATACTATTATACATGTAAAGCTTCCGCTACTCTTCCTAGAATTGTAGCATAGAATTGAGTACCTATCATTATAAAGTTTATGTTTTGTCAGTTATAAAGTACTTTGATATAATCTCATTAAATCTATAAATCACTCCTATGAGTGGGCAGACAGGTATTTTTGTCTGTGTTTTAAAAAATGAAGATACTAAAGCTCAGCAACGGGCTGCTAACATGGAGAGGATCCAGTGGGGTTTCCAGTTTATACTCTGCACAGGTGGAGGCCTTGGGAGGTGGACTAGGCAAAGGAAGCTCCTTTTTTTAACTTCACTTTGCTTACCATTGTCTTATTTCCAGTGTAACTTGACCCTGTAGCAGAACCAGATGGCTGAGGATATCCTGGAACTATGGATTTTGACCCCAAGGATATATATTTTATTAATCCAAGAAAGACCAGGTAGGCTCAGAGATGGAAAGGTACAGAGTCAATCTGTAAACTAAGTATTTATAATTGTGTTCCAAATTATTCTTTGAGAACAGATATGTGTGAGCCACAATACTCTTGCTGTGTAATACATATGGCAAGAAATAACAGGACCAGTGTCATTAAACTTATCTAGGCTAGTGTGAGTTTTAAGAAAAAAGATTTGAAAAATAAGATCAACGTGTATGGAATAGAGTTTGCTTGGTTTTTCTGACTTTACAAAGTAAAAATGTTTCTTAATGTTGTTTATTTTGGTTTGAGAAAGTTTTGTGCCATAACTAGATGGTGTTTAATCAAATCAGACAACACAAGGCATATAGAAATAACTTTAATTAAAAAACTTACATAGATTATAATATCAGACATGACAGAAAGATTTACTTGCCCAGACAACTTGGGTTTGTCTGGCATTTGTTTTCTTTCTTTAAAAAATAAATGTACAGTAAAACTACAAGCAAAAACTTGTCAGTATCGAGTTTGAATTTTTTTCTGTAAAGGGATTAGCCTGATTTCTAATCCCTAACGAAACAGTGTCAGCTCCCCCACGTCTAGGCCAGGTGGCCAGGACTGTCCACTATTTGGGTGCTACAAATCGGAAAAACGTGTTTTACGTGAGAAGGAACGATTCATATAAATTGTCCTCAACTTTTACACAGAAAAAGAAAATGATGTAATAGCTTCAAAGGGAATTTTCCATAATGTACCCTCCAGTATCCAGTATTGAAGCATTATCCTTTGAAAAGGTTTGATTCTCACTCTAAAATACAAGTAAGAATAGATGCTTATTTGAATAGAGTAAGCCATGGTAAAGAATGACCAATTAACTAGAAAAATAGTAATATTTTTATACTGACAGAACTTTCCTGTGTGTTGCTTATTTTAAGTTAGTGTCTTCTTTTCATGAGGTACATAAATAAAGTAGATTAAACTCAAGTTTTAAGAAAGGTGATTGGCGATAGTTTTTAAACACCAATGTTTAACTTCACTTTCCTTGTCTTATTCTGTTAGGAGTGCATAGAAAATGACCTGTGTGTAGTCCAACAGATATCAGTGATTTCAAATAAAGGAATATTGTGTTATGTGGTGTAGAAATTTCCATGAATAGCTTCTATTGGTCATTCACGTTTTTTAAAAATCCCTCCTCATAGCCAAGACTTCTAGGTGTCCATTACTCTCAGAAACCTGTGCTGCTTAATCTATAGTGCAGCTCTTATTTCATGGGGTCCTTCATACATGCATTTTTGAGTGGTATCTGTTAGTGCATACGTGCGTGTGTATATGTGTACTCTATACACACATTTGTATATTCTAATGCAATTTGTGTAGGAAAAAGAAAAGCTGTCATTTGATGCACAGGGGTGTATGTGTTTATATGTATGTATATGTGGGTGTAAAATCTTTTAAAAATTATTTACCCAGTAATGTGATTTGACATCAAATTGTAGCAGTTAACTTTTGGTGCTTTTGATTTGCATCATAAACACAAATGACTAGCACTTGCCTGTAAATGAAAAGCTAGTTACCCCTGTGGTTCAAGAAGGAAAGACGTACGTGCCCGTTGTATAAATAGCATAAAAGATTACTACGTGCAGTACATGCTCGTACTCTGGAATTGTGACCGCAGGGGGTCAGAGATGGAGAACAGGGCTTATTTTCCTCTCCTGTTTTCCATTCAGTTACATCGTTTGCTTAACCTGTTTTGTGTCACCTATTTTTTTTAACCTGAGTAAGTCCTACAGAAAAGGTCTTGTCCTCTTCCATTCCGTCTGCCTGCTTTTGGGGGTGTTGGCCGTTCTCTGGTGCACTGGTACAGAAGACTTCACCATTGAAAGCTGAGCTTGATCTTTCAATCTGGTCTTTTCCATCTTGGCATAGTAAGGTTTCTATGTCTTCATCATTCAGTGGAAAAGCCCGTCGTTCCCACCACAAAGACTAAAAGAAAAAACATGTTAAGTTTCAGTTAATTTGTTTTGTTTAAATCGGTGTATCAAGTAATCTGTAAATGTCAATTTCATAATAACTATTGTTTTGTTCTTAAGCACGTAAATGTGCAAATTTTCATTTGAATTTACGTATCTAGCAACTCAAAAACGGAACCTACTGAGTATTGTGTGGGGACCTTCCAGAATTATTTGTCCACTTTGCCTGTCCCATGAGGAGGAAATATTGCCATAGGGTGCTGGTCTTCATTGTCAGCCTAGGCACGCTTTGGGAAGGCCCCTTTAGTCTTGATCCACTTCTGCACTTCACTGTCTCCATTTGCATCCCATAATTACAGGTACTTAATGACTTGTCCTTTCTCTCAACTTTCTACACTGTCTCCATTCTAGATAATGGCTCTTTTCCAACACCTACTTATGTATGAATAAAAGTGCAAGAACTTACTGATGCAGTGTTAGAGGACAGTCCCCTTGCAGCTCTATGGATCTATATGAATGGGGAGGTAGGGACAGTGGACAGCTAGCATTCACTGTGTGCCAGGTGCTGTTCTCTACTCAGATTTGTTTTGTGATGAAACTTCGATAGCATCCCAATTTCCTAACATAAATGGGTAGGTGGGTATTGACATGTTCCATAAAAAGATAAGTATAGTGATGGAACTGGAACGTTGGGAGTACAGATCCTCTGATTTGTCGTACTGAATTTGTTATGTAATGATGACTCCTTAATTTGTAACAAGCCATTTTTACAAATCAGTTTAAAAAGGATAAAAGGCAATTAAAAGGTTTAACTAGTCATGATTAGACTTACCTTGATTTCTTGATTTTCATTTACTGAAGGTGAGCCATGTGTTTGCAGATCCTGGCTCTGAGGACTTTCGATAACACAGTACTGACCGCCATTCAATTCACTAGGGTATTCTTTCAGACAGAAGTCCTGTCCTTCAACATGTTTACTGTAAGCTCTAGCAAGAAAATCAAGAAAATGTTTAATTATTTCTTGAGGTCTTAATATTTTATGAACAACCCAAGGTGTCATTAAGCCAGTTTAACTAGGTAGGTATTTCTTAAACACTTCTGCCACAAATGTGTTTAAAAATGCATCTGCTGATCTTCCTGATGTTGTTATTGTCATATCTCAAAGACTTAAATTATATTTTATGAAGTCTTTTGCTGAACTATTATAATACTGGTTTTCATTTTGCTTTGGTTTGCCTTTTTTCCCCCCAAAAGAAAACAAGAAATGACATTTGCTTGACCCTTACTGTTTTTCTGAGTTTCCTATGATTATTATAATGTCATTCATGAATGACTCAATTCACATTTTCCTCTGTACTTCTGGAAAGTTATATCTCTGGAATGTGGAGAAAGATGAGAATTGAACACCATATATATTTGTATAACTCTTAGAATAAGGATCTACAGAAAATCTGGGACGCAGAGAAATGTGTTATAACAATACTAATTACATGGGAGATGCCCCCACACCACAGTGACTGACTACCAGACTCAATATGATTTTGAGTTTTGGCTATATTAAAAAATAGTCAAATGTAAATATAAAATACCAGGGATTTTTCTCAAATACAGTCACACCTGGGTACTCATCTGCTTCAGAATTTGTCATATCCTATACTCAATCACATTTTGACAAGAAAAAATGTTTCAGCACTCGGTGCTTGCAGGCGACTTGGCACGCCTCTGTCGCGATAAAACAGAGGCTGATGTGTCAGTCTCATGGGAGCCGGTGACCAGTCCGGCACTCCTCGGAGTTCCAGAACCAGTTAGCGACCCGTACCAAGGTACCACCATACGTCATTACTAATGATGTTTTTAGGGTTTATTCCCTCTTCCCTCAAAGTCATGATCAATGTACAGTATTGTAGACTATTTGTTTTTCTAGACTAAACAGTTTTTTTGTTTTTGTTTTACAATTTCTTAAGAGAAACATTTTTGATGTGCTTATGTTAAAGCAGATTACCCAAATTGTAATCCCTAGTGTTAGGCCCACCATTACAATGCACTGAAGTGACCTCCTTTATCTAGGGAGAATTATCACTTATTTTCTCAGTTAAATCTATTCCTGGGGCCGACAGTGAGCCTGAGAGATGAGTGCAGTAGGATAAACAAACTGATTTCATCACTGTGTATTAGCCCAAATGTGTTCTGAGTGTCAGCTCACTATGTGCAGTGTTTTCCTTCTAGTGCAAATAGCTGATGTTATAAAGGATCTTTTTTATTCCTTTTTAGTGATCTCTCCATAGTCACATAGAATTTTTGTTGGTTCCTTGTGGATTTTGTGCTTTTGGGTTTTCAATGTACAACACCTGCCTGCTGTTTCTTCGGTGCCACTTGCTTTGCTCCCACAGTGACCATCTGGCTTGCTCTCTTGCTTCATATTTTTTGTGCCTTAGGGAAAATACTTCATCAGAAAGATCTTCTTTCTGGAATTAGAAATAAAAAGCTTTGCTTTTATCAGAAATACTTTGAAATGTGAAACCAGGTATCAATTCCTCATCAAGAGAGCAATAGGAAAACTCTCAAATGCAGTCTAAATCAAGAGAACAAGTGTTATGAGACAAGCTTCAAATAGAGAACTTTTAAAACTTTTTTTAACTAGTGGATCATATTTGAACACTTAACTAGATTACGAATAGGTTCACAGTGCTTTCATTTTATATGCAATATTCTAATGCTATATTTATTCAATAGTTGTATTGATTGCTCATTGTGAAGTGCACTGTTCTAGAAACAAGTTAATATCAAAGAAAAGTAAAGATTGTCTGAGTTAAATTAGAATTAATTTAACAAACGACCTACCTGGAGTTCTCAGACTTTGGTTACAATGTTTTAAGAATTTGGGTTTCCTGACTGGGATCACACTGAACTAGGAAAGTGGATGGTAGGAGGGAGGGACATTAAAAAGTAAATTTTGGTAGTTGAAAAACATGGTCAGAGGGCACAGAAAGACTGTTACAGAAACAAAACGTCTTTTACATAATGTACAGCTTCTATAGCACTTTGGTATGTGTTTGGTTAAATAGTATGTTCTTTCTTAATGTTTTACCCATACAGGTCCCCAGTCCCTTTCTTGCAATTCCAAAAATATGAAAAAAAAAAACCCAAAAATATGAAAAAAAACAAAAAACAAAAACCAAACCAATTTTCATGAGTTCATTTGATGACATAGCCTGATCTGAAATGGTGTGAGGCTGTTCTATGTCCTTATAAATTTTTCATTATAGAAACATTAATACCTGATTATGAGAACTGTCCTAGACTCCTTACATGTATTCCATGATACATGTGCTGCATTATTTTTCTAAAGTTCAAAAATTTCCAAATTCCAATCAAATTGTTCCCAGGATTTTAAATACAGTGTGCTTGAATATTAAGACTAAATCTGGTCATGGAGGAAAATATGACTTAATATGGGAGTGAATGTAGAGATTCACATAAATTTAATACTTTAACAACTCATATAAGCAAATAGTATATTTTTATTTCCTTTATTATATTTTTTAAAAAATTTTTAAAAGATTTTACTTTTAGAGAGAGGGAAAGGGAGAAAAACATCAACGTGTGGTTGCTTCTTGCACATCCTCTACTGGGGACCTGGCCTGCAACCCAGGCATGTGCCCTGACTGGGAATCGAAGGAGTGACCCTTTGGTTCTCAGGCTGGCACTCAATCCACTGAGTCACACCAGCCAGGGCTGGTTCCTTTATTTTTTTATACATTATTATCTTTGTAGTCGAATTTGCACAAAACCTTTTTTTTCTAATCAAAATATCCTTAATGAACTTTGTTTTCATAAGTAAAAAGAAAAAAAAGTACATTAAAGGGCTTATATTTTCACAAGTATCAAATTCAGCAGACTTTATAAAGTGCCTTTATCCCATAATAAAAGGCAACTTACCTCTTCTTCACATACATCGTATTCATCCAAAGGCTGAAGAACAGCCATCCTCCAGCTGTTGAAGATACAAGCCAGTTTCAAACAGTTCTAGGTCAGCAACTAATAAACTGGCTTAGAAACACACACACACACAGCAAACCATTCTGGCTTGAATTTAATAAGTTCATTCATCCTGTACGAATTTAATAACCAGATCACAAACTTTCTCAAGATTAAACAGCCATCTCAACTAACTCTGGCCTGTCACATAAATTCAATTACTGTTGCTGCAGAACATCATAACCACAAATAATAAATGTTATTCCTTATGTGGAATATATCAACATTCTCTGTAGTAATTCTCATAATACCTCCTAGAGTACTAGGAGTTCTTAAACTTCAAGGTAGTTACTAAACAGAATTAGAAATCAGCTGGGATAGACAGCAACAGGAATTGCTGGAATTGTCACCCAGCTCACACCTATTTCCAAACTCTTCTTTTTTTTATTGTTGTTCAGTTACAGTTGCCTGTATTTTCTCCCCACCTCTCCCCACTCCAGCCTCTTCTATCTCTGCTTCCTGGGGCCAGATGCCTAGTCTTAAGAAACTGCTTTTATCATTGGTGAAAAAAATTGACAGATTTCACTGCCAATAGGAAATAGATCTGTGTATGACATTCAAGGACCTCCAGTCTGGTTCTAGCTTTTCTAGCCTGAACTCCCTTTATTGCCCTACACAGAGCCTTACCTACATGTTCATATGCCTTTGTTGTGGTCTCCCTGTGTCAGTACTCTTACCTTCTCCCTCCTATAGGCTGTGTTCACAGACTTTTCCATTCACCTTTGTGTTTACTGTGTTTATTGCTTACTTGGCAGTATCTACATCAAAATCTTATTTTTGTTGTCATAGGTGTTACTGTCTTAGAGTGTAAATACCCCATGCGAAAAGAGTCGCTTGCTTTAAATTCATTTTGTAACCTTGTGTAAACCTTCATTTTAAAGAGCAGTTATTAATTAAAGTATAATTATTTACATTCCTAAAATACCTTTTAGAGCCATATACATAACAGATAACTACATAGTGAATGAAGAAAAAAGAAGACTGCTAAAGTAAGTAAGTCTCAGGAATTCCCAATTCTTCACAAAAACTGGGAAGTAAAGTTGGGATACTGTATAGCACTTTTTTCAGCATAAGTAATGTAAAGCTGTCTCCATTTCCCCTCCATAGTTATACAAGTGGGAGGAAGGGGAAGAGGAGCAGCTTCCTTTTATTAATTAATATTTTAACTTCACTCTGAAAATGTAAGTTTATTCAAGAAAAGGAAGCAAGAAAGAAAACAAGATGTGAGTATACATACCTTGGAGTAAGTATTTCCTTATATTGGAGTTTCTCTAACTTAGCTGGGGCCACTAGTGACATGGGAATCACAATATTATCTATGTCGTAAGAACTCTCACTCCGCAGCCTCCGTCGTGCAGTGCTCTGCAGCAAGCAAAACAGGGCTATCGTGGTTACACAGCACTGTTTGGTGGCCTGTGACTGTACTCACAAGCTGTATAAGATGATCTGGCGGTATAACTTTTATGTTTTATAAAAATACTATTAAAAATATGACCACAAAGTGTTGAGGAAAGTAAGGAAGCATACTCGTATTTTGTAAACCAGACAATGTCTTTTGAGGGGCGGGGGCGGGGCAGGCATGCAGCATACATTTGTATGTGCTCACATACAAACTTTTTAAGACCATAAAAAGTAGGAATGCCTTAAAATGCAAAACTCTTCATTATAAAAGATTACCATAAGGCAAAGATCATTTAACAAACTCACTTTTTATTGGGAAAGACTTTACTTGTAACTTTTTACTGGGAAAGACTTTACTTGGTAAGTTATTTAGTAAAGATCATTATTACAGTCTTCATTTATGTGTTCCTGGGCCCTGGGTGTCACACTTTTTTCTAAACCTTCCCAACTTTTTACCTCTACTCTGATCAAATGATAAAGAAAATAACACGAGTGCTGGATTTTTACTAGTAAGGTTATATTTAGCTTCATGTTAATGAGTAGGGAAGGTTATGGTAAAGTTTGTTTTTAACAGAAATAAAAGCCATAACCAAGGATTAATGAACAATTAGCTCCGCCCTGAAAGAGTTAATCAAATTTATTGTTCCCTAATAAGGTACTTCAAAATATATTAAGATGTGCTAGTAAATTAGGCTATTAACAATATGCACTTTCTTCATTCAAATCAGTTTTAAAATTCTGTGAAGCAATTTTAGAGTTCAATATGCGAAAAAACCTACTTGTGATGAATTCTGGGTTCCTGATGTAACATTGGCATTAGCAGCAGCAGTCAAATTGCAAGGGGATCCTGGTTCTGTGTGATGAAAAGCAAACTTTTCACTTCTAGTTTTTTCTCCTGCCATGGGAAAAAAAAAACATTGGGAATGTCAAACAATGTGACTTACAGGTATTAGAATTATTTTCCTACTAACATGATTCTGTTTATTAGTTTTCTTTTTATTATAGTTTAATCTCATATCAAAAACAAGAGAGTGGAAAAAGAATGTTAACTACAATTTTATTTTCTGGAGTAATGACAGTTTTATACATTATTCTACTTTTTGGAAGATCTCAGCGATCTTCTAATCATTAATTTTGAATTTTTTCTAATAACTGACTAATTTAGAAAAGTTTTTTTCTCTATAGCATACTGTTATTTTATGAATGAAATTTTTCTTAGGGTAAGTTTACTTTTTTTGGAGGAAAGGGTATTTTGTGTGTCTCTTTCATGATCCTTTTTTCTGTTTGCTTTGGTTCCCTACTTGTGAGTATATATATAATTTATTCACTTACATATTGCCCTTGTTTTACTTTAGTATGACCTCAAAAAATACTTTTCTGTGTAACATAAAAGTCTGATATCTAGTCCATATTTACTTTTCTCCCCTTGTTAAAGAATGTCCTTTATGTAATTTCTTCAAACCAGAATCCACATACTGAAATTGATTCTCATCTTATAGGTCTCTTATAATCTAGAAGAGTTCATTTTTCATGATTTTTACTAAAGAGACTAGGTGAGGAGTCTTGCACTTTACGGAGTTATTTAGTTTTTTTGTAGTGTAGCATCAAACTTGTACTTCTGTGTTTCCATCAAACTTGAACTTATGTTTATCAATCCAAGTGAGGTAATTTGTATTTCATAGTGCATCTCATTAAGATAAGCAAGTTTTCCTGTGTTTCACTGTATGCACGTCTGAACATTCTTCAAATGCTAGGTTGTCTTAAGAGGCACTAAAGAGCATAATGAAATCTCTGATCGTGAGCGAGCGGAGTTTAATTTTGTGCTACTCTAGTTGATTATTACTACCTGATAATCACTCAGGTAGTGATTATCACATAGTAACTTGGTCTGTTTTGGCAGGATTTCTAGAGACGGTGATAAATGTGTGAAGTCTATCCTGTATAATTAGTCAGTCCAGTACATCTTGAGTAAAATTAGTACATCTGGGGGACATTTCATTAATGTATATACAAGGTAAGTTAAAGGAAGGTTTATAGCATATGGAAAATAATACAAATGTTACACAATACAGAAATAAACTTTCACATACAACTGTAAACCTACTTTTACCCCACCTTATAATGTTATAGCCACTGGAACAATGAACAAAAAATATATAATTTGTTATTTAATGTATATCTTTTCAGTTGTTTCATTTTTATCATTAATTAGCCATAACTGTGGGAACTATCTGAAATCCCCCCCAAATCTTCACTTTATATTATTAGAAGAATCTTAGTTTGAATGCTGTCTCTCTCATTCGTTTGGAACTGTTAAGTTCCTAAAGGAAACTGAACTAGGTGGTTGAGTTACGTTAAGTGAATTTCATTCAATTTCTCAAAATTCTGAGTAAGAGTCAGTGTGTTGACACCTCTACAGTATGTACCAAAAATGGCGATACATTTCTCAATGTCAACCTGACACTAACAATTTTAGTCCAGGATAGAACCTTTGAGAGTAAGTCCTGTCCAGGGCAATAATACATAACTCTGGTCAAGGAACCAAGGAAAGAAATCCTTAATTGCTATAAAGTGGATGGATGTACAGTCCACAATTCTAAGTTGATTATGTGCATGTGCAATTTAATGTTCATAGGACCATGGATGTTCTGTGTAATTAGTGACTCCTGAATTATCAGTTTCCATGAAGCAAGGCTGGTTTGGAGATCAGAATTTCAGTTTTTTAGTAATATTCTCATTTTAACTTACCTAGTGCTGTTTCACTCAAGTGTCTTTTCTTTCTTCCCGGTAACAGCTGTGCAGAAGATTCTGACCTTATTTGAGGCTTGCATATAGGAGAATATCCATTTCTCCACTGACTTAGAGAAGTGTTGTGCACTAAAACAAATGGAAAGGAAGGAAATGGATAGTTTTAATTCCTTAACACAGATAATGAACATTTTAGTGTTTCTACTTACAACATGGCAGGATATTAATACAGTATTCAAAATTACATGTAAGATTCCTTACAAACATCCTTAGGAGTTGTCCAGTTTCCTACAGGTGCTCCATGATTTAAGGGGATGAAAAAGAAAGGGATCTGTTTTCAAAGTCTTCTACATTACAAAATGTTACAGAAGAGATTGGTTCTAGCTGTAAATCTTGGTTGAATATGACTTAAATCCTTAAGTTAGTTCCTGCTTACCCTTGGATCTGGAATTAACTCAGGATCAATTCAGATTTTACAGAATGTAAAAAGACTGGGACTTTTTGAGAACATAGATTTCATCAACCTCTCACAGTGCCTACCACTATTCTTTCACTTTTTTAAAGCAGTGAATTTTTAAAACTATGTCACTTAATATCGCTGTGCCTCAGTTACTTTATCTGTAAAAACAGGGATAATAGGCTTTAGAAGGATGTCTAACATGGTTAAGTATTGAGTAAAGGTTAGTTTCTTCATGATTACTGTTGGAACCCAATATTACCAGTACTAGATTGATCAAACTGGCTGCTTGTTTGAAGGGTTTGAAAATGTGGGAAGGAGTAGAAAAAGGAGTATGTGGGCTGAAGTGCAAGATTCTCACCAGCACTGAAAAGAAACATAGCCTACTAAAAATAACTGGGATTCCTGATTTCAAGTGGCATAGTGCTCTAAAAAAATAGATAATATTTTTATAGACATGCACAGATCTGCACATATATATCCATACTAACAAGCAAAAAAGGGAATTTGTCAATGGAGCAGAATCAAAGACTAACCACATGGAATTAGACTGAAGAGCAAACTCAGTGCAAAAACCCATGGAAAATGTGATCAACCTCAAAGGTGCTCTAGACCTGGAGGAGAGGGGAACTGAGCAGGATAATCACCTGGATAGGGTGCCAACACCTCTGCCAGACTGGATGATGAGAGATTATCCATCTGAATAAAATTGGAGAGTCTTAGGCACAGCGATGGAGAGAGAAGGCAATGTCCACGTACCCTACTTTGAAATGTCCTGCTCATCCCTAACTGCCTCTGAAAGGTAGTATGTAGTGCAAATTTCTACTCTTCTTGTGATGCAGTGCACACTGTGTCAGAACAGTGACTAGCCACTTTATTTTAAAGATGAGAATACAATCACGACTGAAAGTCTGAATACCAGGTATGCCATAAAAAAAGATGAGGTACAAATGGGAAAACTACCTGAAGAAACAGTTGACAGAACAGAACAACAAGTCGTCAAATACTAACATAGCCAGGAGAAGCAGGCAAAAGGCCTCTGGAGAGACCTTAGAGATGGAAAATAAAATCTTCATATTTAAAAACAAAATCCAACTGGGCTGAATTAATGTACACAGCTGAAAATTAAAATCAGTGGGTTGGAAGCAGTCCACAATTCAAAGGAATCCAGAGTGATGGAAAACACAAACCAAGATGGGGTAACAGGTGAGATGAGAGAATGAACAGGAGGCTATATATGAAGAAATGGTAGTCAAAAAAAAATGATGATCTTAATGCTAAGATTTAAATAACTTGAGCGTCAAATGGAGGGGTGCCATAAATCATACAGCACATCACAATGAAAATACCCTAAAGTTACCAGAGAAAGGATGGGATGATTGCAAAGGAATGATAATCAGATGGACAGAAAGCAAAACAATGCAGGGACATGGTGGCTTTAAAGAGATCAGAGAAAATGTTAGAATTCTTAGATGGCCTCTTAAGGGGTCTGGATGGATGTTTTTATTATATGAAAAAAAACAGGCAGCAGGACAGCAAGCACTGTGACAGTTGTAGGAGGCAGCTGGGGAGTAACTAGGAACCAGTGTGGCACTGCCTGGACCGGGAGACCACTTGGACACCAAGCCACAGGAAACATGAAAGCAAAGAGAACTTCCACCTGGGGTAGAGCACACTTGCTTAATGAAGACTGAAGAAGTGAAAGGGTTACAAAGTGCAACTAAAGTAACTAACTGGCTGTTAGAGAGTTCAGTTTCTGGACAATAAAAACAACAGTGGGAAACAGATTAGTGAGTGTCTGCACCAGCAACAGGCCCAAGACCACCAGCTTGTGTGAAAGCACTTGTGGTCAATGCACTTTCCAGGGGGATGTAAGGAGACCACCAGTATACCTAGTGCTCAAGCTCACCAGGAAGCACACGCACCAAGAGGCACAGACTCTAAAAACAACCAGTGTGCCATGTGGGTAAGTCTGCTGCCAAGATTTACTGCTCAAAAAAGGAATGCAGAGAAAGATGTTAAGCAGAAGGCAAGATGGCAAGCATAATTCTAATCTCTTCTAAAAAGATGTAACTACAGTTGTGAAAGTTAGGTTTTAATATGTGCCAGGCACATGTAGATGTTCCAATAGTGCCAACTCTTGTTTTAATAGAAATATTTTTGGAATGTTTAAAAGCAAAGGCTAAGTCAATTCACCTTATTCTTCTAAAAGCAATTCATCATCCTCTTTATCTTCTAAAAGTGTATATATTTTGAAGAAAATCACCAAAGTGATGTTTTTCATTGAATTTTACTCAAAAGTTTTCTTCATACTTAACATTTTTCTCTTTGTAATGTCTTGTAAGGTTGCAGTGGACTCTTGACACAATAGGCTTTCAGTCTAACTCCACACATTCTCTTAATCTGTTTTATTCCTAATAACCACCCCAGCCTTTGGATTCTTCCTCTCCCAAATCCTGCCCTAAGTTCCATCCTAAATCACCCCGTACCTCTCCTGCCTTCCCTTCCTTTTAATTTATTCATTCAGTAACTTTGTAGAGGTCCAGTTATATGCCAGACATTATGTTATGTATACCCTGCAGACACAGTGGTGAGCAAAAACCAGCATGGTGCCTGCCTGTGATGTAGTTTTACAGGTATTACCTCCTCAGTCACAACTTATTTGTCATAGAAGACAGAAGTACTATTGAGAGAAGTTAATGAGAGTAAGACAACTCTAGGAAAGGCTTTCCCAGATAAAGCAATAGATTTCAAATAACAGAAATAGCTGACAGCAAAGGAAAGGAAAAATGGTACATATGAAGGCAAGAGGAAGCAGGATGAATTTGGCAACAACAACAGCAGTAGTGTAGAGTAAGGAAGCACAGTGAGAAATGCACCGTGGACAGGTAGGACCCAGCCTATGTAAGTAGGGCTTCCGATTAAGAATATTTCCTGTGTCAACCATTGGAAGGGAATGGGGTTAGGGAGCAGGTGCGACGTCATTAGGTTTACATTTTTTTAAAAGATCGCTTAGTACAGGGATTTCAAGGAAATAATTGATTAGGCTATTTCAGCAGTATAGATAAGGGATCATTAAGTTGGACTGTGAGAGTAGTAAAGATGAGGTCAGAGTGACAGATGTGAAACAGATATATAAGACTGCACTGAAAATGGGTTTAGATATGAGGATTGGGGGGGTGGGTGAAGAAGGCTGAGCCCAGGTTTCTGTCTTGCTTGCTTGGTTGTGCTGCAGTTCCTCTCTCATCTGTCCACTCAAACAGTAATAAACTGCAATTTGTCATAATTTCAGACTCAGAAAACTTGGCAGTAGTACAAAAAAGTCCTGTGTACCCTTTACTCAGATTCCCCAAATGTTAACATTGATCACATTTGCTTTTATCTTTCTGAATGCCAATGAAATTAAGTTGCTGGCATGATGCCCCTCTAAATATTTTCCAAAATAATTAAGTAAATAAAAGGGCATTCTCTTACATAGCCACACTGATCAAAATCAAGAAATTAATACGTAGCTAACTATAGACCTTATTCAAATTTCACCAATTATTCCTGATGTTCTTTGTAGAAAATTCTGATCACTCTGCATTCAGTTGTCAGTTCTTATTATATCTGAAACAGTTACATTGTCTTATCTTTCATGACTTTGAATATTTCCATGAGTATAGGCCCTTAAATTGTCATTGTCTGATAATTCTCTCACAGTTTGTCATTGCATCTGTCCACTCTTCAGCCCACTAGTGTTTGTCTTTTCTGCACATCTTTGTTATCCTAAGTCAGCAATGCTGTCACAGCTGCCAGCTATAATGGGCAGTCCACAGTAAGTCCAAACTGGAGAACACGTACCACTACTCACCTTCACAGAGTCTACCCTGCACAGATACCAGGCCATTTAATGCTCAAAAAAGGAATGCAGAGAATGTGTACTTGAACACATTGCACTGGTTCATGGCTCTGTGACAAGTCACCTGTTTGTTTCCATTTTAAAACTTTACTACTCAATATGCACCAATAGCATTTGAGTCACCTAGGGCCTTGGTATAAATGCAGAATCTCAGACCCCATTTCAGAATTACTGAATCAGAATCGGCATTCCAACAATAACCCCAAGTAATCTGCACATTACAGTTTGAGAAGCGGTAATTTGAACACTTCACTCTTCCTCTAAACTCCAATTAAGTAGAGCTATACATCACTGTCTACCGGAGTTCCTCTTGCTCTTTTCCTATTGCTCTTAACCTTTCTTCTTCTTGACTTTTTCTAGGCAGAGTTATACACTCCTCCTTTTTAGAACATTTTCATTATATATGTACCCATCACATCTGAATAATTATTTGTGTCTGCTACCCATTACAATTTCTTTGATTTCTTGATTCACCTTTGATTCTTCACTTAACACTCTACCTGGCACAGAGTAGATATTCTATGAATGTCTACTTTTACTTAGTTCTCTAGAAGTAACTAACAGTAAAACAGAAATTAATGACTAGCGAGTTAAGACATTTATATAGGATGAAACCTAAGTAGCACTTATTAATTTGGGTTGGGAGTAGTAGGACAGAAGTGGATACAAAGAATACTTCATTATTTGCCCAATAATATCTCAAATTTCTTATTCTTAGTTCTTCATTTCCCATTACTAACATTTCATTACATTACTGAGACATTACTATTA